GAAATAGCACGAATCAAACGTGTCCTTCAAACAAATTTTTGAATTAAGGATTTAGGAGCATTAAAGTACTTTTTGGGCATGGAAATAAATCATTCTGACGATGGCATATATGTCTCTTAGCGGAAATATTGTCTTGAGCTACTTGCTGATTCTGGTATGTTAGGTTGCAAACCTTGTTCAACTCCTATGAATAGTTTGTTACGATTACGTCAAGATGACTTTAGTGCACTGCTTGATGATCCTTTATCCTATAGGCGTCTTGTTGGCAGATTAATTTATCTAACAACAACACGTCCTGACATTACTTTTGCAACCCAACAGCTTAGCCAATTCATGGCTCGTCCAACAAAATCCCATTTAGGTGCTGCATGAAGGGTCTTAAGATACTTAAAGGGATGCCAGAGCAAAGGTCTTCAATTCAAGAGAAATACTCCTATACATTTAATTGGGTTTAGTGACGCAGATTGGGCAACCTGTGTTGACACCCGAAGATCAATCACAGGATATTGCTTCTTTATTGGAAATTCTCTAGTGTCATGGAAAACCAAGAAACAGAATACGGTGTCTCGGTCATCTTCGGAAGCAGAATATAGGGCACTCGCTACAAGCACATGTGAATTACAATGGCTAACATATCTTCTCAATGATTTGAAAATTAGTTGTTCCAAGCCCGCAACACTTTATTGTGATAATCAAAGTGCGCTTTATATTGCTGCTAATCCAGTATTTCACGAGAGAATGAAACACTTGGAAATAGACTGTCATCTTGTTCGCGAAAAAGCTTAAGTCGGTTTAATGCGGTTACTGCCTGTTCCTTCATTTCATCAACTGGCTGACATGTTCACTAAAGCCTTACCACCTCGCCTCTTTCTCTCTAATGTATCCAAGCTGAAGTTGATTGATCTCTACACACCTCCAGCTTGAGGGAGGCTAATAGAATAGTATCCAAAATTGATTGTGCAGATTTCAATTATAAATATTTCTGTTATGATCCTAGAATATCTCCTAGATTGATATGACCTATAAATATCTCTTAGATTGATATGAGCTGTAATTTCATAGGTAGTATATATATTTGTATCTTTTGCTAAAGTCAATACACACAGAAATTCACAATAAAATTTCTATTGTGTCATATATTTTTCTCTGCCTTTATTCTTTATATTATCATCCCAAGATTTTGGGTTCAAACCCTCACAGGACTGAAAAATTTTTGTTTTAGATTTATTAGGGACGAAAAACATTTGAACAAAAGTGTTAGGATGAGTTTTGAACCCACGCCCTCTTCAACAGAATAATATTATTGCACGTACAAAATTATATGTTCATACATTCAGAAAAACGACAAAAAACTTGCATTTTTTTTTTTGTTATTTTTAACCTCTAGCCGGATCAACTTGACTCGGTTACAACCCGCGCACTCGATTTCAAAATTTTATTCTCAGTCTCCATTAAACGTGAAAAAAGATGTTTTTAGATGCAGAAAACATAGAAAATAATTTTTTATATTCAATTTTGATAAATAAAAAAAAAAGGGTCAAACACACAACATTTATGTCCAAAACAAAATTTCGAATATGCAAAACAAGCAAGGTAGAAGTATATGGAGCTCTAATACCAAATATAAAAAGCTATCAAAGCTGTGCGGAAGTGAAGAATGAATTAATTAATACTAATCTCTAGCCATTGCAAGTTGATTCGCAATCAAAATTTTTGGTCTTTCTAAATCTTCACTCACTTAGTCATGATAGTATGTATTATTCTAAAAGAGAAGCAGATTCGAGTGACCTAAAATTATGAGAGTGTAAAATATTTATAAGATTTTGCTCATCATAAAATTTAATTAAAAAATTAACAGACAACCTTCAGATAAAATAAAAATTAAATATTATTAATAGAGATATAGATCATATTATGTTTCTATTTTTATGTTCCTTAAAGATAGAAACTAAAACTAACTATGGCTCACGAAATGGCTCTCCGAATGGAAAGTGGATGCTCTGGATCTCGAAATGGACGGTATGCTGCTATACGAACTGTAAGAGATGCTAGGCAAGGTGGCACCTATATAAATGGATGACGAGAACTGGCTCTTTATCTTAGCAAGATGGTAGTAGGTGGGAAGCTTCTGGCTCTAGCTTACTCTGCTACAACTACTGTGACTTCCACTGCCGCTGCTTGCTTTGCTTCAAAACAGCGCAGAGCGGAAACGACTACCAGAGCAGTTACTCTTCTAACTTGAACACCGGATACGCATTAAGTTACCTTTCTAAGAGCTACTTTATTTTCTCTTTTTTGCTTCACTTCTGGCTTCTGGTGAGGCTCATCGGCCTTTCGGCCAAGCATAGAATTCTTTGACCGGCTTTGGTCAAGCAACCGCTACATTTCTTTCACGGCCACAGCCCACATAACTTGTCTCTCTCTTTTCAAGGAAGTGAGTCTCAGACCCTATGTAGTTCACGCTCCTTTTTTATACAGTTCCTAACAGGTGCTTTTGTGGCTCTTCACTCCAGCCCTGAAGTATTCTGTTAGCCCAATCTGGCTCTAGCCCAATACTCAGGTACAAACTATTTAAGGGTTTTATGAGTAAGGATTACATGTCTGAGCCAAGAAATTTCCTTTTTATATGGGCATCGATGGTCCTATGGCAAGTTTGTCATTTTCTACATTTAGTGTCGTAACTGTTAGATATCTAATGCATTTGGTGCCTGCACAATATGTTGTAACGTGTCCAATAAAGTTGTCATTTGTTATAAATGTCACATAGTGAGCATACATGTCTATGTCGGTTAAGCCACTTTAGTTACAGCCAAATTTGAGATGAATCTAGATAGCGGTTTGATTGCAATGGATATGGATTTAGTGGTCAATATGATGGCGAGGTTGGACATAAGTTTGAGAGAGTTTCATTCACTAATTTGAGCAAAGTCAACTATTTGACATCATATCAAAATTATTTTAATTTTTTTAATTTAATATATATCCTTCAATTAAAATATTAAGTTTAATTATATTTTTATCCCTATAAAAATTAACACTATTTAAAATAAGTCTTTAAAAAAATTGTTAAAATTTAGTTCTGATATTTTTAAAATGTAAGAATTTAGTCTTTATCATTAATTATGTTCTAAAAAGTAATGAGATATATAACAAAAATTTAGTTTATCATTATCATATTATAGTTATTTTAAATATTTTATTATTTAAATATTAATATTTGTAATATCTAGCTTACAATCGATCTCATTCATCATTCTCATTGTCTTAACTGCTTTTTGCTATCAAACCATGCTTGAGTTTAACATCCATAATATTATTAAACACATGTATGTTCACGTTGAATTCCCTTACAGTCATTTACAAACTCTCGAGCCTTGCAAAATGCATTAGTTAAAGTCTCATAAATTTTTACCGTTGGCAAAACTCCCTTTTATTTCAATTCCTTAAGAAATCTAGTTGCACTTTCGAGATCACCCTTCTTGCAAGAGTAACCTTTTAATTAGGGATTTCATGGGTGAACAAAAGAAAATAAGGAAGGATTGAGAAGAAAAATAATATTAATTTTTTTATAATAAAATATGAAAAATATTAATAATATAAAGTGATGAGTTAAATTTTCATTATTCGAGTTATCATTTAATATAATACATTAAATAAAAAATAAAAAAATTTAAGAACTAAATTCTAACAATTTTTTAAAGACTTATTTCAAAGGATATTATTTCTATAAAGACCAAAAATTTATATTATATTTTACCTAAAATAAAAAAAAAATCTCTAAATTTCCCCTTATTCAAAATTCTAACGCCATGTTTTATAAAATATTTCAAAATTATGACTTTTGATTGTTTTTAAATCCATCCAAAACACCTAACTATTTAAGTGGAAAATAAAGCTCCTACTTAACAGAAGTACAATTAACCCTAATAGTCATACTTTGGCTGCCTAGTGCCTACTTTAATAAATTGGTTTTTCTCTGTTCTAATAATGCCTTGAATGAATTAAAACGTAATTAGAATGATAAAAGAAAGATTTATAAGAGGAATAGCATGATTTATATAGTTCAACTAATTTTTTTTTATCTAATATAACTAATCTTTAATTAATTTTTATATTTTTTTACACAAACAAGGTTGAAATAAATTAAATTTTTATTACTTCGGTGAAAATAATAACAGCGTGAAAGAAATGTATTTAACAAATATTATAATACTTAATGGATATTATGACCGGGGCGGGGAGAAAGTGTGCCTCCCTTGCACAAGGGCACATAATTCAACTCTTTTATTAAATGCCTAAAAATTGTCATTGTATGTAACATTAAATATAATCATTTTATTTTTCTTGTTTTATATATTTTAATTTTTGCATATACATGCACCTTAAAAATACTTATCACAATAAAAAAAGACACTAAAAGATGTCCCACTTTGATGGTACAAAAATAATTTTTTAACAATCAAGAGCATAGGCACAGCCAACATTTTGATCAACTTTTTTTATATAAGAAATAATTATGTGTTTTTTGTTTACAGAAAAAAGTTATTTCGAATTTCCAATCTCAAGGTCAATTTATTTAAACATTTCAAAACGTTGGATGTGAAGAAGACGAATACGTCTTCAATGAAGTCTCAAAAATGCTTTAGACTTAATATTAGCTTAATTGTCAATTCATGTAATCATCGCTCGCTTTTAAACTAGCAAGGATGAGAAAAACAAATAAACTTTTGTTATTACAGTGGCAATAAAGCTAGCGTAAAAGAAATGTCTTCCATGAAGAAGACTTTAGAAACAACTTCCCAAGAAAATTTTGCATCAGCTGTGTGGGAGAAATTGTGCCTCCCAGGGCATATAATATTCTTTACTTTTTTTGGAACATAATAGTTATGAACAATCCAAGCGAATAATAAATATGAAGTAGAGAGAACCTGCCACTCACAAAGCATTTTTTTTTCTTTTCTTTTTATAAAGTAAATAACATTGTCATAGGCACAATATCGCAGACATTCACCTATACTCTCCATAAACTCTATTTCTGTTAGCAAATCCATGGGAAACACACATATACAACGCCTATTTTTTGTTGGTTTTTTTTTCCGTTATCAATGATACAATCGGTTAAGATGTTCCTAACATCCATGAATTAGCAAAACTTCCCAGAGACACTTCTTCCGCAAATTCAATTGTTCTTCTAAACTAATATGTTACAGTCAAGAATACCCGGCCACACCAATGTTGACATGTCAAAGCTGACTTCCTAGCCCTCACCGTGCAATATGCCATCATTCATCGTCAAAGCTACAAATTTCAGACAACATAGTACCCCATCTCATTGCGGACACTTGAATAATATTCATTATAGTTTAGATAATCCCAGAAACGAGAAAGCCCAAAATTCCCATGTTTAGGTTCCTTAATATAGCATATTTGCAATTCTTTTAGACTTCTATCAAACTTCTGCTTTATAGAAAGCACCTGCAAGTTAATTCAAACAGTAGGTCAATATATTTTTTACTATGAGTCTAGGAAAATTTGTAAGAGAGCATACCTAACATAACATGTTCCAGATAGAATTTTCCATTATGATCTTATCTAACGTGGGGATGTTTCCAAGAGGCCTTTCGGCAAAACTTAGGTTATTTTGAGGGCATCGGACTCCAAAACTAATGAGAACATTGAGAAGGCCCTCTCGAATATATGGGAGCATGTATATTGCTTTACACTACATAAAGACATTCGCACTCCCAGGGATACCAAGGTAGTTAAGAATAATCACTTAATATCTATGTACAGAAGATGCCAAATGCCCAAAATCTTTCTAAAATATCAAAGAACAATCTACGGATAGTATTTTCATATAATTATATTTTCTAAAGCATAAATGTACCAAACAAGAATGTGTAGTGATTCTATTAAGTTTGCCTAGTTTACCTGGGATATATTGATTCTAGAAAGTTTTCCTAACAAATCTTCCTGATCAAATCCAGCATTCCAAGCACCAACTGTAAGACAAGACCGGAAATCGAGTGCACATTGCAAAATACCCTCAATAATGCTGCCAACTACCTTTGTTTCGTCAGACAGGAAACATCTGTCACAAATATATATACACAAACACATAAAACACCAACTGGATACAAGTTTGAAATCTTACACTAACAGTTATGCTATTTACCACAATTTACAGACCATTTTTACACTGGTCATCAATGTGCATGCAAAATTGACATAAACCATAGTATTCACTATCACCAGAAAAAAAAGTTGGCCCTAAATTGACTTTCTAATAACTATTCTATGACTAGTAAACGACAAATAAATGCAAACTTACATGCATAAGGAATCAGCAAGATATTCCATGTGCACTGACTCAAGATCCATCATATCTTTCACCTGCGTAATAAATGGCAGGACAGGAATAACTAAAACATTTATACAACAACCAAGCCTTATCCCACTAGTTCTAAAACATTTATAAAGCAATTAAATTATGAAGGCATCCAGCCATCTAGGTTACCAGAAACTAGAAAGCTATGAAACTGATAATTGAATGAGATAGAAGGAAAAATATGGACATCCAGATCTATTAAGTTCATCTTTGATTAACCCTGATGCAGTTCTAATTTTTGTATTGCTATAACATTTGAAAACTATTGCGGAGATGCTGCTGAGATAACCCTAAATTTTGTTTGAGTGTAAGTTCCTACATAAGCATCTTAAAAGCTTCCTGCATAATAAACAAAATATCAAATGATTTCCCCTTTAACAAACAATCTACCAAATTCACAGAATGAATCCTTCTAATCTCTATTTCCCCCAATGTATAACCAATCCCTTCCAACTAACTAACTAACTAACTAATAGCTGCCCTTATTCAACTTTCATTATATATCCAAACAAAGTCATTAACCAAACTGCAGCTGCTTGACAGTCTTGAGCAGTCAAACCGTCCGGTGATACAAGCATACAGCAAATACAAAAATCAAAGAATCACATGGTGAAAGGGTAAAGAAATAATGAAAAATAGTATTTTTTGATATATGAGCTTTATATATGTCTTTCATTTGATGAGCTACTTGTTAGAGATAAAAACTGTTCCTGGATATTTGAGTTATTTGGTTCTTTACATTACTAACTCGGGGGTGGAAGTTGTAGTTTCAGTATGTTTTAAATTTCTTTTATTACTGCTTATATTTACTTATTTTACAAGAAAAAGAATTAGAACAGAGAACAAAATACTTTTCAATTTCTTTTGTTACTACTTATATTTACTTATTTTAAAAGAAAAAGAATTAGAACAGAGAACAGAATACAACCACAAGCAGAATAAAATGTCCCCATTAGCAGATATAGAAAAATACAAGAGGTAATAAAAAAAAAGTAAAACCACAACCCAATCTCAACGGACTAAGGAGTTCTGTGAAGATATAACTCTTGGAGTAACTATTAGCAGAACTCCACTAAGAGGCCAAAGATGCCTTCCTTTGATCCTATCCAATTAAAGATAGAGAGGCAGTGAGATACCCTTTAAAAGAACTGAGCATTCTTCTCAAACCAAATTACAAAGTCTTTTTGCAGAAATCTTTAAGGCTATGTTTGGTAAAATGAGTTGAAAGCTACGAGCTTTTAGCTTCTAGCTGTTAGCTAGTTGAAAGTTGTGAACTTGTAACTAAAAGTTTATAGTTGTATAAGTAACTTATAGAATTAAAATTATTTGTCAAACTAACTATGTAAAAAATTGATTTGTATTTAATGACTTAAAAGGGCACGTAATATTATATTAACATAATATTAAAATTAAATATAACTTATTTTATTTATTTGCTATCAATCAATTAATTAAATAAATAATTATATAGAAAAAAAATTCTCTTCACATATATTTGAACATAAACTATTTTAAGCAATATTTTTTTTTTAATATAAAATATGTTTGGATAAAAGAGACAAGCGAACAAATGAAAAAAATAGAGAAAAGAAAAATGAATGGAACTATCATGAAGGTTAAGAAAATAAAAAGACAATAAGAGTAACATATGTACATAAGTTGCCTTTTCAAAAGCTAAAAGCTTCTCTAGATAACTTTTTGAAAAGTTAGCTTTAAAAGCTACAAGCTCCTTTCATTTTATATATACCAAACAACTCTACAAGCTTATTGACCAAGCTTCAAGCTCCTAAATAAGCTACAAGCTACTTTTACCAAACATAACCTAAATCTAACTAGCAGAACTATACCAAAGTAGTAGGAAGCATAAAGCCTGGAAGTTACAGGATCATTGCTAGATTCCTTATCAGAATTGTATTGATAAGGATGTAACCCTTCTTTCATTTCATGATGAATTTCATTAGAAGTGACAGGTATGATACAAATGCAACCTAACACATAATGTGCAAGATGTTTTCATCATTTTTCTCTTATTCTCTTGTCCAATATAAAGTTCTACACAAATATAGACACACACACACACACACAACACATGGAGGGAGAATACAAACAAGTGCCTTAGGGGTTTAAGGAATCAAAAGTGAAATGCTTTTATGGGAAATTGTCCATATACATGTAGCTGGAAAAGTTGTCCAGAACCAGAAGGTAGCAAGTGAAGGTCATATTCTCATTTCAACTAAGCAATCATGATTTATAACATGCTTGCATGGAATGCATAAGCAGTAACAGAACAAATGTTTTCCACTGAAAACAAATTATACTTTGAAGTCCGAAGTAAAAGATGCACAGAGAATGATAACTAAATAAATAGCTATACCAATTATAAGCATTGGCCTCAAACCTTATGCTGAAGGGAATGAAGAAACCTGCACCATGATACATGAGATAATTGTGACTCTACATACTGCTGCAAAGTAGTTACAAAATGGCTGATCTGGTGCCTGTCATTGAAAGTGAAACAAAGGATACTTAGAAGTACAAAACATGCATACAAAAGAAGTTCATCTTCAATATTTAAAATCTTTTTGAGAAAATAGTTAAATTTCGTGCTCATTAAGTATCACTTTTTTAGTTCATGGAAAAAAAAAACCGCTAACTACTGTATCTCTAAGCCCTCACCCAGACCACATGGTCTGAACATCCAAAGTCCTTCCCATCCATGAGAATGAATTGATAGCAGAATCTGAGAAACACCATGATACCAAATAGAAACAATGCACCCGTCCCAGACATTCAGAAAAGAAATCACTGAGCGTATACCTCATCTTCATCAATATATTAAGATGCCCTATGTCACGTTGGTGTAGCTCTGAATTCAAATTCTTAGTGGTTGTATGCATTAAATCCTGTTCACCAAATTTGAAAGAAAATAAGTTCCATCACATGACCTAAATCCCTTAGATTCCCTTGAAAATCCAGAATGTAAGTGCAATTCAAAGCAACACAAATAAATTGGGATATTAGACTGTATAGTTTAGAATGTATGCACAGTGCAGACTTGTTAAAACCGTGGCAGAGGAACGTATGATTGATGTCAATAAAAGACCTAAAGTGTGGAAGGTTTATTTTTAGAGGAAGGGTAGAAAAGAGTCAAGTGTGTGTTAGTTTGTTAATATCGCTAACAGATTCTATAAATAGAGAGTTAGTTTCTTGATTGAGGCATTATTGGTTCTGTTAATTGTTTTGAGGAGAATTTCATTCTCTGTTTAGGAGCTGTAAGCTTTGGGGGATTCTTTTGTAATCCTATTCTTTCTAGTAGTCAATAAAATCATCATTCTTCTTCAATCCTCGTCTTGATTGTACTCTGAACAAGACTATTTAAATTGCAGGCTCTCAAACATTGTGACAAAATTATCTGTGATAAAATATGAAGAAACACGCAAGGCAAAAGAGAACAAGAGCAGAATATATATATATATATGTTGGGTTGGGGGGACACAAAAAAAGATAGTTGATACAAATATTTCCATTTTTGAAAAATTACAGCTATAAGTAGTTACTCATCAACAACTCTTTGAACTATCATTGACCAATTAAGTGATCAATATTATTCTGAAATTGAGTTAGAAACAATGAAGAGAAAAATTTAGATAGAAGTTCTGTATCATAATGATCTCTTATGCTGAATGCAAAATATCTTTATATAGACTCTTAATAGACTTAATTGGGACAATATCCAGGCCAAGACTAAATAAGAGTAACTTCCTAAATACTAATTCCCATAAATACTCATTTTATCATGTTATACATGAATCTATTATTTCCTGACTTCTATTGAGAATCTGTCAGCCCATCCATTATATAAGCAGAAAATCAGACACATATTTGGAAGATATCATAGTTGTTAATCTCAGATAGCGGTGCATAACAGATGACCCTCAAAGCGCTATAGTGCATAGCAGGATAACTGTTATTTTAAAGTTTTTTATATGGATTAATATATATATATATATATATATATATATATATATATGCAGATAATTATGTATATAATGCTAAAAAATGCATAAATAGCATACAAATAATTATCAACAAAAGACAAAGAGAAGAAAGAGTGGATTTTCCGGGAGAACATAACAGAGGCAGGACTTTAGAATCATAGAATAGAGAGAAGGAAGTAGATTTTGCCAGAGAAGTAATTGGAGATTAGTGACTCTACTGGATTTGAGATTGTTGCAAAGCATAACAGAGACAGAGATGACAGGAGGGAGGGTTGAACAAAGAAGGGGAGAAGAAAAAAGTGGAGTTTTGTCATGTGTCTCTAGTTGCAAAACAGAACAGCAATAGAGATGAGAGGAAAGAGTGTTGAGAGAAAGGAAGAAGAAAAAATGTGGGGAAAAGTGAGGTTAGGTCTGAAAACTGAGAAGACTATTTTAGTCTTACAAAATAACCTCAAGACTTCTAAAAGATTAAAAGTTTTTTTTTTACCCTTAAAAAATCCTAAAATTCCTTTTGTTTTGAGGTTAGAAAAGGAAAGTTGGTATCTTTCCCTATGGTGCCACTATTGTGCCGTGACAGGCCGTGTTTTGGGCCGCACCCATCAAAAACACTCCAAGGCCGCACCGCCACTATCGTGTGTTATTGACAACTATGGAAGATATAGGATAATAACAGCAGATCTGTAATAATAAACACCAGGAAAAGAACAAAGGAAAGAATTGCAAGAAATCACACCTTTAATGAGCACCATACATCAGTCAATGAAAAAATGGCAAGCTTCACTTGTATCAAAAAGCTGAATATATCAGCATATATTTTCAATGTAGCAGGTGTTAAAACAATACTGAGTGGCCAATCCACACGGTAACCCAGTCCTAAGAAATCAAAAGAACGGACCCCTGCCATTATATAAAAATTCAATATTAGACACATAATTTCATAATCTACATTTCCACCACCTCCAAAGAGAGGAGAATTGGCAGGGGGGGAGCTTATCAAACTTGAAATGAAACTGAAAAGAATAAATAACAGCAATTGCAATATTAATAAAGAAAAAGAACTAATTAGTTTATTATTGCTGTGGTGGTTCATGGTTGTTATTTGTACAGGAAATGAGTATATTAACATTCTAGAAAAGACACTCACATGGAAACTGAAGCCATTTTCATTTAATTATATAAATGGCCTGAATTTTTTAAAATATAAGAACTAAATGAAAACTGACTTAAAATTCATAATATTTAAATGAAAAAAATCCTTAAAAGTAGGAAGTGAGTATATTTGGCCTAATAGTTAATTTGAAATAATGATATTCTCTTTCCTTCTTGTTGGAGTGAAAACAAAATACTGGGCCTTTAGAAAGAGTAAAAAATGTGTATCAACTAGGGGAATCCCCTTTCTGTAGTAGTTTGAAAGTACCAATTGCAGATGCAGAAAGAGGCAATTTTCCATGTCCTTTCATGTACACAAACAATCTATCCTTGTTAGTGTCTTGTTCACAAGAAGACTTCTGTATAGACAACTCAAGAAGACCTTGAATTTCTGAAACTCTCTCATTAGCTTCGGTAACAGACCACTTCTGTGATTTCAAGTAATCAAAGAATGAGTAAATGTGCAGTACTAAAGACTATAGTCAGACTCATAGCTATAAAATATTACACAACTCATTGGGAATCAGGATTTAGGAATACATGATGCCAAAGAGACAAGATAAACAAATCTGCCCAATCTGCTAACTCCATAAAATGGTACCGCCGTAGTGCCAAGAGATGCTCCCGCAACTTAAATACTTCCTCAAGCACATTGATGGCTAGCTTGCTGACGTAATTGTATCTGAGATCTCTAAGGACGGGCAACACTAGTACAGAATACTTTCCTAAAGGCAATATATTGAGCACCTCAATTCTCAACTTTCAATTGTGGATTAAGATAAAAATGAAAAAAGATGCAAAAAAATCACCTAGAATCCAGAAAAGATATCATCTGAGAAATTATTAATAAAATTGAGATAAGTTGTTATGTGTTAATTAAAGAGATCCTACAAACTTGTATCCAAAAGACAAAGGACTGCCATTGAAGACTTGCAAACTAATTCATCATGTGCTCAAATCATGTAACCCAATCTACCATCACAATCTGCAATTACAAGAACAGTATAAATTATAATAATTATTCCACCTTGTTTCATCTATCAATTTTCACACATAACTCAACATGGCCACTAAATTAGCATTATCCACCACAGCATATTTTATACAGGATTGCTGCATAACTTGAATCTTGTTAGGACAGTAATACTTGAAGCACATTAATTACTATAGGGCAGAAATTATAAATGGCATCAAGTGATCCATGTAGCATGTCCCACCTAATGAGACAAGATCTGTTTGTTACTGTTGGAGAATTACTGAAGTACATTATCAAGCATTCTCAGATTTTAAAATATTCAAATAAATTAGCAACATTAGATTTCCTTTATGGTATTTAGATTCCCGATCATAGAATTTTGCAACCCATTCCAACAGCTCCTATCACCAAGACACTAAAAATTCTTTAAACCCCCCTGTCTTCCAGTACTTTGGCATGCGTAAACTTCATTGGTAAAGAAGCCAATTGAGGTAGCATTGACCCATTTACAGTACTGACAAATAGTAAGATGGGGTTCAAAAACCAGACATAGATTTCAATACTGAACTGGGTATTCATGATAAAATCATACTAGTTAATCTATGTATCATCCAGAGAAAATAGAAGCAATAGCAATGGAAAAAGAAACACCATACATGAACTAATCAATCAGTTATAAACATAAAAGAGAATAAACATAAAGGTAAGGCCGTAAGGATACTGAAGCATGATTTCCTGCAGTAAGCACTTGTCGATTATAATATCAAGCGGAATCTCAAATGTTGACAACAAAATGTTCTTTTGAGTACCATCACAATTGACAGTTTTCCTAAAACTACCCAGCAATCTTTCCCAGCTGCTCCCACCAGATACAGCTGTTAAAACATTATGTGTATGGTCCATCAAGTCCAGTGAAGCATCTGAACATAATTTGGGAGCATCAGCCAACCCATCCTCTCTACCATGGACAAATTCTCCATATTCATTATTCTTATCATCACAAACCGATGCCCTACTGTCTAGTATAAATGAAGATGCACTTCTACATCTGGAGTTGATGGGTAACTTGTCCATATAAACCTTACAAGGGTCCTCTACAGCAGAAAAATTGAAGTAAGGCAAGGGTTGTTCACGATCTGCTTTGTATTTTTCCTCATTTCTACCCATCAAGTGAAGAAATGAAATTCTTGTCAACATAGGGTTCATACTAAGGGGATTAATGTTGGGTTGATTACACTGATGGCTGTTTATCTGTGGTTGAAAACCATACAAATTTGAAGCAAGTGTAATATTGTCTAGTTGATTCTCACTTGTGGCCTCCCCATTTGAAGTGTCGCTAATATTAATAACATCATGGCATGACATAGAATATCTCAGGTATCCCAGGTGCTTTTCAGTCACCTTATGCTCAACAGTTCCATCATTACCAAATGAATTTCTCAATAAGTGGCCCATTGCTGAACAACTGTCAATCAAACTCTCCCTATACTGCATACTGAGTTTAGAGCAGCTTGAATTCCTTGGACTTGGAGGATTAGACATGTGACTCAATATCACTTCATCATTGAAGGACTCCACCAAATGATCAATGGCATCTGTTTTATCACAGATTACATGTGAATCACTGCCTGACTTTTCATGACGACAGGAATTTTGAATTGAATTATTTAAGGTTGTACTCTTCATGAAGCTTAAAGCAGATAAATGATTTTGTTGCCCAACTACTGAACAGGACCAGCCACTAAGCTGATCACAGTCCAATTGCTCCTCAGAGCTGTTTGAGGATGAACTTTCAGATAAACCACACATATCTTCCAGCAAAGTGAACTCGTCTATTGTACTTGAGACATCAGAGCCCAAATTATCAATGACCCTGAGAATATCTATAAAACATCAATGAAGCAATAACAAAGGGAAATAACATTGTCAGGGGAAAAACAAAGATAGTGAGCAGCAAATAAGGAGGAACATGTCAACTCAGTACATGCATCTTTATGCTCATAACATTTCACGGGTGGTGGGAATTGAAGGATAAGAGGAGTAAGAAATTACATATTTAAACTTTTTTTATCTGCTGCAGGGCAACCAGTGGATTTGTCTTCTGACATGATCTGGCCCAGTTTGTCTAAAGTACCTCCATCATTATCAAAGGAAGGTACTGAAGCATGCGTAGCTACCTGCAAAAGGAAAATCTTCATACATAAGAAAGAAGGAAAAAAGAGAAAAAATAAGCACATGCTCACAGTGGGAAAAGTAGTCTTCTTTCTTGTCTCCATCTTATTGTATACTTCTATGCTCCTTTTTCCTTTAACAGCCTTTCCAAAAACTTATTGTTGATCAAAATAAAGATATAACAAGATCATTGGTGCAGATGGGATTATGATGAAACAATTACTGTATAATAATCTAAAATAAAGCAAATGGCACTGCAATTTCAGCTTTAGACTACATAACATCAAGATGGTAAGATAAAGGCATCAAGAAGGTTAAAGAAATACACAGTAAATGACAGTACACAAAAATATAAAATTTGATTTCTATATCTGCAATCCAGCAATACTAAGTTTGATATGAAAGAACAAATATTGTACTCTCAATGTCTCCTAAATCATAGCATTGTAAAAAAGAAAAATACCACCTCTGATTCAAATATTAAAAATATTTGGTTAAAATATTTTGTACAATTCCACTTGTTTGTATTATGTCAAGGACCAAGTCTCCTAAAAGCTTAAGCTATAGATATTAGGTGAAGGATCACAAATGGCTTTACTACATCTCTGAAAATTAGCCAGATGAAAGACCCCTTTAGGCTTGAAGAGTGGACAATGCATATACCTATTTTCATGCATGCTGAAATTCAACTTTTATTTAGAAGAAATAGGGCAACAAGAATCAAATTTCTGACCAATTGTTCATAAAGACCCTTATACCACCAGTCAAGACCCAACACTCCCTATATGCTTATGAGTTAAGAGATATTAGGAGGAAGTACAAGATTGATTTTAATATTTCTTAACATTTAGAAGCAGAAAATTGTAGGGATAATTTATACAAAACAAGAAGGGACATGTCTTTCCAGAAGAGTGATTACAAATCAATAATTTGATGCATTTTGTCAGAAAATAATCCAAGAATTCTTTTTCCACAATTATGGCATTCCACCAATATCTTTGTTTTAAGTGGGTTTCCTAGCAGGCTTTTGGAAGAACTTGAATGCCTTTTCTCCATTACTTCTTGCATTCTTGGTTCTACATTAGTGATTGCGAGAGAACATTTTAAATTAATAATTCTGTTATTGCAAAATAACTGAAAGTAAACAGAAGTAAAAAGTGCACGTGTATGTGGAACCAAAGCTATGGAATATGATTACCTGCTGATATCTAACTTCTAAGCTGCTCAAAAGGCTTTCAATTTTTTCATTCATCCTTTTATAATATTTTTTTCTTGCAAGCACCGTGGCTTCTATAACATCTTTGCTGAAAGTCAATGAAGAAGAATAAGACAGACTATTACTTGAAAAGCCACTCCAGCAGGGTAGAAATTCATCAGAACTACGTTCTCCAGCAGCAACATGAATGCACAGTTCAAGCAATTTCAACAGCACTTGAAGTTGCTGACCAGCCCTCACAAGAGGAACCAAGAAGTCTTTGAGAAATCCAGGAATGGGAACTCCATCTCGCACCTGTTGTTAGGAAGTTCCCACCATGAGAATTCAGCAAAACAAGGCAATACAAAGCTATAATACAAACAAAAATTGCGTGCAGGTCAGCACAGGAAAGAATTACCTTGACACTTGCCAATGGGAATTCAACAGAATATCCAGCTTTAACATGTGACTTAGGAAGTAAACACTCCACATTTTCCACAATAAACTCCTTATATGGGTCATGTATTTCTGCTTTGAAAATCCATGACCTAATGAACCCACAATATGGTTCACATGACTGAAGAAAGAGAAACTTGAGCAGAGTGCAGTGAGCAGGATCAGCAACCTAAATTCAAGAAAGCTGAATAGATTAGAAGAAATTGCAGTATTTTTCCATATATTCTAAGAATAGGTTCACATTCAAATAAGCTGACCTGTAATTGTGCAAACAAAAATGTTAATAAATTCCCCCCTCTGCAGAAGTTACGGAATTCAGAAGTAGCTTCAGTAATCAGGTCCTCAAAGGCAGTATCTGAAAAGCGAAGAGCCCACTTTTGTACGTTACATATGCTTGCAAGTGCCTCAATCTGAGTCCTTAGTTCTTTCGTATGCAGGTAAAATTCAAGCAGTGTAATTTCAGAATGCACTACATTCTTCAAACAGCCAGATACCGGCAAATCCACATGTTTTGATGAACGCCTTAAAAATACAGATGCATGAATTGTGTCCAATCCACAGATGTACCCTTCCAAGACTTTTCCCACAGCAACAGCAAAGGCTTGATTAACAAGACTGAAGGGAGGGAACTCTTCCACTCTTACTCTGTCCTCTTGATGAATTTCACTTTGACGAACATCAGATTTATCATGACCAAGTCCAAAACTGTTGTCGACATTCAAATTTGTAAAATAATCTACAAATGTACGGAGAAGAAAAACTAGAGACCCGGTGCAACCTATAGCTTTAAGTATATTTCCCAAAGAATGAGTGCTGGAAGCTCGATTCCAGAGATTCGGAATCTGGAGGGAGGTCCTGTCAGCTGGATCAGAACAAAAGATGGAAGATAGCTTTTGAATACTAACAAGGGATGATTTTGCCCCTTGCATAGCATTCATCACCAACCTCACCAAACTTGATTCCTGGGGCCAAATTTTCGAATTATCAAAATAAACACACAGTCCCTTATGAAATGCGCCGATGCCAGTTCAAAATGCATAGATAAGTAGGAGAGCAAATACTCGAAAATGCATTGCACTAGCACAAGTAAATCACAGAGAGAGTGGAACTTACAGAGAGAGTGGAGAGGTGATGGAGAGGTTGGCTCAATTTAGAAGAAGGCGAAGAGCAAAGTCCACTTTCACAAGGTATCGATTCCCATGTGCTTGGGGGAAGCCATGGATCCTGTACCTTCAAATTCTCCAACAACCACGCAAACTTCGTATCCACCATTGTCTCCCTCTCACAGTCTCACTTCTCTATGTTTCCGATTTATTTTATTTTAAATAAATGCAAAGACATGCGTTGAAAGCGAAAATATGAAGGGCGCCTCAGGCCCAACTTTTTCAGATTTTGAAACGACGGATCCTTAGATCGTCACTTCGCAGTAAAATGCCACGTAATTTGGGTGCTTGCCGGGTGCCTTTAAAAACTGCTCTTGTGCCTAATAAAACTAAATTATAAAAATTGGGGCTTTTTTATTTTTTAAAAACTATTTATTAAAGTATTATTTTAAAATAATTAGACTGTGTCTCCAATATTTTTTTGTCACGTCAGGATAAAATTTTAAAAATAATAATATTAAAATTTTGATATGTTTCAAAATTTTAGAATATCTCTTGTAAAACTAATTTATAAAATAAAAATAATTTCATTGATGTAAGTAAAAATATTTTTGATATTATGAGTTATGATATAAGTCAAAATTATACCTTTTTTTTAAGGCTAGACAAGTGTCATGTCATGTGATAATAATGTTAATTTTAAAATTCTTTAGATTTTTAACATGTAATATCGTCTCTTAAATAATTTAATATGATTATAATTTTTTTATGTCGTTAACTTTGTTAATGCTTTTTTAACTTTTCAAAATTTGATGAACAGGATATTTTGACTTTATTTATATAAATTTAGTTTATTTTTTATGATATTAATTTACAGTAAAATATGGATTAAACAAATGTATCATGTGTGATTGATTTTTGATTTGTTGTGCACTAATATATTGTTTTTAAAGAAGTTCAAGAACCATATCTAGGACATGTCATCTACTAAGACTCTTTTTGGATTCCTTAGGTTAGCAAGGTATTACAAAAAAACTCATAAAAGATTATAGATAAATAACTACCCCCTAGCAAGTTTTTTAAAAAGGACAAATTTTCAATGGAATGTTGTAGTTAACCTTGCCTCTAACCATTTAAAGAAAGCTTTTTCCACAACCTGTATTCTTAAATTACCAAACTTTGAATAGAATTTGTAGTTGAATATGATGTATGTGGTAGTGGGTTTGGTACTATACTGCAACAAAAAGGGCATTACATTGCCTTTTTTTAGCACTAAAATTGCAAAAGGACACCTCAAGTTGGTAGCATACAATTGCGAATTGATTAGGTTAGCCAAAATAGTAACTCATTGGATACTCCACCGATAAGGTCAACACTACGTCATTTGCATGAATCATTTTAGCCTCGAATACCTTTTATAACATCTAATTATGTCTCAACAGTGGATTGCAAGCTTATGGGTTTGATTTCTGAGTTGAATATAAAGTGAAAAAAATTGAATAAAGTTGTTGGTGTCTTATCTAGAAGAGATGAGAATTTCCTTCAACTCATGCTAGTTTCTTTCTCTCAAGCTGCAATATTTGATACTCTTCATCAAGAGAATATGAATTCCCCTAAATTATCCTACCTAAAGAAACATATTGAAGCAAGGGAATTGGAGCTAGATTATAATGACTTCGTTAGGATTTTTATTAGAAAGGAATGAAGCACATTTCATTAGAATTTGTATAGAATTGTTCCATATGTTAGTGCCACAAATGGAAAAAATTTACAACTTGCAAGCCTTCATCAACCCCTTCATGTTCCTCACCAAATTTGGGTCAGTATCTCTATAGACTTTGTAGAAAGACTTCATAGAGCTTAGAGTTAAATAGTCTTTATGGTGGTGGTCGACAGACTTTCAAGTACCCCATTTTTTTTTTCCAATAATTCATCCATTTAGTGCTATATTTGTTGCTGCCATGTTATTTGATAAGGTGTTTCAATTATATGGTCTTCCTAAAACTATAGTTTCAGATTGTGACAAGATTTTCTTTTAGTTTGTTTTGGAAAGAACTATTTCCCTTACTGGCTCCAAGTTGACATTCTCTTTTACTTAACACCTCAAATTTAACGGTCAAACATAAATTGTCAATCGTACCATTGAAATGTACTTTCTCTACCTCCCTAATGGTCATGATCGTTTGCGCCAATGGATTGATTGGGTCCCTTAGTTTGAGTACTGCTATTACATATCATACCATACTACTCTTGTACAATCTCTTTCCAACTAGTCTATGGTTGAGAACTTCCTCAACTATTGTCATACTCTATAGGGTCTATTCAACTTGAGGCAGTTGATATAGCACTCTTAGAAAGAGATGCATTGTTCTATGATGCTCATACTAAACTTTGCTAGGCCCAACGATGAATAAAAGCTACTTATGATTCTCAGCATAGAAAGTTGACCTTTGTTGTTGAAGATTTGGTACGGTTTTGCCTTCAACCATATCACCAACTAAAGATTATGAAACACAAACATCACAAGCTCTTACCCAGATACTTTGGTTCATTCTAAATCATTGTCTAAGTTGGAGTTGTAAACTTACTCTTCCTATATAGAGTCACATATATGATATTTTTCATGTTTTCCTCTTTAAAAAAATACAAAGGTCCACTCTGCGCCTATTGCAAATACATTACCATCACTATGCAACAATAAAACTTTACACATATCTAAGTCTGTTCTTAATAAAAAATTCAAGTGCAATAATTATAAATTTTTAATATGTTAAACTAAGTGTCTTCTTAAAGGTTTTGAATCCGATGAATATGTAATTTATTAAAATTAATAAAAAATTATGTTATATATTTATATTTTATTTTAAAAATATTTACAATATTAAATAGTCAAATTAATATCTTACTTATTAAATAAATAAATATGTTTATTTATTTGAATAAGAAATAAATACAAATATTACAATGAATAAATTAATAAAAATGTTTAAAAATGAATAGGTAGTCTTTTCTATCAATCTTTCTGGCCAAATATAATATATTTAGAGTGAGGCAATCATTTTATATCCTACGGTTGCTAAAGCTGCCACATTTCTCGTCCAAAGATTGAACCACCTAAAAACAAGGTAGGTTCACATACTTTCGCCCGTTATACTCTCTGACGTTATCCAGAAAATCATGTTAAAAATTAGGGTTTATCTAAATTATACTACACTTAAATAATCTTATCTCAAGTTAACTAAATAACTAATAAAATTACTACAATAATTAGAGATTTTTTTACTTCAATGTATTAGTAGTTATAGAAAATGTGGCTAAAAAATATTTTTTAAAGGAATTAAACAAATACCAATTAAAAATTAAAATTTTCTTAATAGTTAAATGTAATTATTGCTAAGAAAAAACACTACTAAAAATTCGTGAGATATTCGCAAAAAATACAAACGGGTGTGTATCCATCGATAATTATTGATGTAACTTTTGACAAATTATCACTTACTATATCATTCAATTTATGATAATGAATTTGTTTGATAGGCCCTCAGTACATAGAAAGTAAATAATCGCATTTGTTCACTACTATATGTCTTATAATGCGTAAAATTTAACGATGGGTATTTAACATTTTAATTTTATTTGATTTTTTGTTTAATTTACTGATGCGTATTGACGTGTATTTTTCTATTTTATTTTAAATTTTTTCTTTAAATTATCAACTTACTATTGCTTAATTAATTTATTTTATTTAAATTAACAACAAGTTTATAAACAGATTTTTAAAAATTTTGTAAATTGGCACTTAATTCTTGGTATCCATGTATACTTGTTAACAAAGTGAAACATAAAAAAATAGAAAAATTCAATGAGTTCTTTAAAATTTTTTATGTTAACACTCAAATCTTAGTATCCCCTACATAGCCCGTTGGTAACAAGTAAAACATGAAACATAATGTTTTAATTATGCATCATAGACGGGTATATCAACATTATTTGATTTTAATAATTTAATACAACCAATTTTACGTGTCATTTAAAATAATTTGTTTATTATTTAACTTTTTTATTTAATTTAGTTAAAGTTAAGTGGGTGTGTTAACTTGCTAACACAAGTGAGACTCACTAATTTTTTTAAAATTTTTATAAGTAACGATTTTTCTTTCTTTTATTTATTAAATAATTTTTATATAATATAAAAAATTAAAATATAATAAAAAATACTTTTAATTAAATTAATTTTTCTTTAATTATTATATGAATAGCCTTACACACACTTGACTTATTCTTTCTTTTGTTTCCTTCTCTCGTTATCTCTTTTTCCATTATAAAATCATGCTTAATAGTATATCAAAGACGAATTTTATTTTATTTTTGTTATGATGTAACTTTTTTTAAACTTCAATTTAATTTTATAATATTGATATTATTTGTTAATTATGATTATGATGTAAATATTATTATTATTATTATTATTTTGAATTGTCACTCAAGGATAAATTCTAATTACTCAGTTGATAGACAATTGAACTATTAATAGGTTAATGAAGTTGAGAAATAATTTAAATTTAAAAGTTAATATGATCAATTTATTACTTATACTTTCAATTAGTTAATTAAGTTTAATAAATTTAATGTTTTTAATATTTTTATTTATCTTGTTATTTTTTATTATCATAAGAATAACATATAGATGTGAAAATTGTCATTATTACATGATTATTGGATAAAAATAATAATTGATTATATGATTGGTAATTAATTTAATGCAATTGAATAAAATAAAATTGTATAACATATGCCATTCATATAAATTAGCTTTGTATTTATTTTTCTTTTTATTTTTCAATCCAAATACCTTCATAATTGCATTGCTTAATATTCAAAAAATATTAATAATAGTTGTTTGTGATTATAGTTTCAATGAAAATGATACTAGGAGAATATAAAATATTTCATCTTATTACAATCAACGACTATACTTAAATGCTGGTTAAAAAATTTTAAATATGGAATAATGATCGTCTTCCTTGTTATATTTTACACTTTACACTAGTGTAATGCTAATTTTACCTATGTCAAAGACGACATTAGTTCAAACTGTAACACATGACAAGATTTAATCCTAAAACAGTTTCGCCACTCGTAATGCAAGACTCGGGATCTTAAGTCTTACACTCCAGGTGAGACTTGTTAGACTCTTAACACATGTTAGGATCATTGAGACTACTTTTTCTTAAAAAAAAATAGTCAAAAAGAAAAATTGTTTTGAAATCATAATACTTTAATAAATAACTTTTAAAAAAATAAAAAAACCAGAAAATTGAGATGCCTTCATTCAGCGTTTTTAAATTTAATTTTCAGTTAACTTCAAAATTTAATTTAATCTCAATTTAAAATTTGAATTTAATATATTTTTAAAATTTAAAAATTTTATCTCTTAAATTTAGTCTTATATAATATAATAGAATCTAATTTTTTAATGATAAAAATGTTTTAAAAGTTAGAAATTTGAAAAATAATAAAATATTTTTATATTTAAAATCATTTTTTTTATTTTCATAATATCTATGTATAGCATGAAATTTTCATTAGTTAATAATTAAACCAATACTCAGTTGTTTTAAAAATATAGAAAACTTGAAATCATAGTACCTAATAAAAAATAATAAATTTCTTATGTAAATTTTTGTTAAACTGTGTGTGTATTCCACATGACTAACTTCATATTAGATCATAGATATCATTTGAGGCACACTGAGCACTTAAATTGGTTGCTCAATGCTCACAAAATTTCATACACTAGCGGTAAAGAATCACAACCATTAATCCACATTTCTCGCAGGGTACTGTCCAGAGTGAGAGCACAACCTCAAAAACTAAGAAATTGCTTTGATGGAATCAAGTGAATTAGAAAAGCTGTGGCATTTATATGTTAATAATTTGTGACATCCCAACTTCTTTGCATGTATGGAGGAAAATCCACCACCAATTCAAGTCCTTCCACCACTGAAAGATCGTAATCAGAAGCTGATTGCACATTTTGCAGTGCTTGAGATACATTGGGCAACACTATTTGTTTGCAATGAAGATGTAAACGAGGATGCTCCTCAGAGATGCTCCCTTTGTTCATATTAAGGCCAAAGGGGAGTGTTTCTTCCTTTAGAAGCTCTTCACGTGACTCCTCCACATTAGACTTGGACGAATCAAAATGTCCCCACTTCTTGTGTGCTTGCCTTCCATACTTGTAGTCCCCAACTATTGGTGTACCTAACACCTCAGCACAGTGGACTCGAAGCTGTGGCATTAGTAAGCACAGTTAGAATAGAAATTACGAGGGGGCATATGAATTGATTGAACATTTTAAGGTGTCACAACAAGGTCAGCTGGTTATGATTCTGCCCATGTTCTTGTTACCTGGTGTTTTCTACCAGTTAAAGGGGACAACTCCAACCATGTGTAACCTGCATTATTTGAGGTGGCATAAGTAGGGGGTTCCCAACTCTGAGGAGATAAACTCCGCAGATAAACCTTGGAAGCATGCATTTTTTGCCATTGCAATATAAATTTATAAGCAGTGATGTTAATTATTGTTTCTTAGATCACTAATGACATTTAATTACCCCGTAGGAATGTAACTATTGTCCTAATTTAAGTTCAAAACATCAAATGCAAAAGGAGGAGGAGGAGGGAGAGGGGGGGGGATTTAAATTCATTTTCATCATTCTCAAAGGAGATTTGCTGATAACCTTAGAATTTAAACTGAGTTTCATTACTAACCACGTGACAATGATCCAATCACTCGGTACTCTGTAATTGCATGCTGTGACGACATTAATGTAGAATTGTCAACAATAGTTATTCGATCAGATCCCCCATTGTCAACCACCACCTGAAATCAAATAAAGGATTACAACATTTTTTTGCAATAAATAAGGAGCTTTCTATAGCTCATCACATCAATGCCCATTTACTTTAGTACAGGAAGCTAATTTATATAGGCTATTATATATTGTAACTGTAAGGCCTAAGAATTCATGCCATGTTATGTCAGAGGGTTGGTGGCAATCCATGCGTACACACCTTATGGAAACTAATAAGTTTGTTTTGGATTTGTTCATTGGTTCACAAGCCAATGACTAAAACAATGACTAGAAAAAGGATTTATCAGAAGATCAGCTACCCACTAGGGCATTAAAAGACTAAATGAAATTACATAACATTTTCCACCATCTGAGTAAATATTATTGGACATTTTTTCTTATAGTGAAGGACTAGATAAATTTAGAGATTATAGACAGCATATACTATGGAATGCTTCAAATGCTAGATTAGATGGTTTAGTTTCAAGAAGCTATGATCCAGTACAAAACTTTTTCCTTTGTGCAGACATTATATACATGCAACTACTACGAAAATTCTGAGCATGAAATGGCTGCAGCACGTGAAATCTGCCAGGAGTTAGGAGCATTAACCAACTAAAGCTTCTGGTAAATAGTCAAGAAGTTCGTTCCAACACAGATACAACCTTACCCAGTGAAGCAGTGACCACCCCACTAGGACGTCTAGGACATCCAAGGACAAGCGCCCAGTACCTTCTTTGTAGGATTCTCTTTTCTTTCCCGATCTATTTAAAGATAAAATGGCACCAAGTCAGGAAAAATAATGAAACAGATATAGCAATTTGGGATTGTGATCATGACCAATGCTCTGAATGTTATTATGCTCTTCAGGCTTCAGCATGCATGAAGCATTATTTGATAAAGAAGACCAATTATCAGTTTATCACTCACATCTTCAGAAGCCCTGAAAGTTTTCTCCCGGAAGATGGAATGCAGAAGCGTAGCACTTGGCTGTGTCCTCCCCATCACCAGAATGCCAGAACAGTCTCTGTCTAGTCTATGCACCTAATAAAAACATGTAAAAATGAGAAAAGAACTCATATTCTTCCCTTTTCATTTGATGCATTGTTTGCAATTGCCAGCATTTCCTTTAGAAGTGATAACTCTAAATGGGCACAAAAAAGAAACCTCTGTAATTGAACTCTAGTGCAAACAGCTAGGTGTGGTGGATTGTGATGTGAAATCATTAGCAAAAGAACAATTTAAAGAATATCAGCTCTCATTTGCCAAATACTATGTTTAACCCTTTTTTATAATCAAAGCAACCGAACGAAGCCTATTTTTAGTAACAGCTTCAGGAGGAAATAACGATAATTGCATTTGTACATAGCTTAGTAAGGGAGAAGGCATAACAAACTGAATCATAAAAAAAGACATTGCAAAGATAGACATTGAGGAACTGAATAATGAGCTCACCAGACGAGGGGGTTCAGAGTATTCATAATTTAAACATGCAGCAGCTACTACATCTAAACTCCGCTTGATATTGATGCCACCCTAATAAAAGAGAGATAAAATTCACGTGTAAAACTGAAGAACAGTACACCAATGGGATCATCAGATCAGACAGTTACCTGCACTGGCATTCCCGGAGGTTTATTGAGAACGAGAATAGCAGGATCCTAGCTTTGACACGCACATAGATAACAAATTCAGAGCTAATAGGATGAGGTGCAGCAAAAACAAAGGGTTAAAACTCGAAAACCTTATAGATAACAAGACCACGGATAAAGTTGATTTCTCGGGGAGTGAGATGACAGTCATGTTTGTGTGTCGGAGTTTCTTTAACAGACCGAGGAAGTAAGATCCGGTCTCCCAAGTTCAAGGTGTCCTTAGCTGCCACCTTCCAAGAATGACATGGATTTGAGTTTGCAGAAACCATTAAAAAAATAAAAGGAATTGATGATTACCCTTTTGAAAGCATGATCATGAATGGCAGGAGAGACAATTCGAACATGTCTGAGACGGAAAAGCTTGTGGACAAGGGCTCTGGGTAGGTGGGGGCAGCAACGAAGAACCCATTTGAGTGCGGTGGTGGAAGTGGCGGAGAGCTGCTTCTCCTTCCCCTTCAGAGTCGCAGCAGCGCCAGTCACTGGTGGCAGCGTAAGCCATTTGTCCCACTCCTGTCTTGTCACCGACAACTGCCGACTCCTCAACGCTCCCAACATGGGGATGCGTTGTGCCGCCACCGCCATGTCCGTCAATGTTACTGCTCAACTCATTATAATAAGGCCTTTCAATTTCATGGCCCAAACTTTAAGATGGGCCCAATGCAAGTCCTTCCATGGACATCAACATTATTCTCAACAAAAACTAGTTGGGCGTTGCACCAAGTCGGTCCATCGTTGACCAAAAAACATTATGCGGTAAACGTAGTATTGTTAACGATGGCGGAAAAATAAACATAGTTCCACGTTGAATGGAATATGACCGAAGAGATATAAAAGTCTAATCGCGCTAAGTATTTTAGTAAAATTACAATCTTAAACCCGATCCTTCAACAAAAAAGACTAAATACTCCCCTCTGTGGTGTAAAATTTGGAGTGGGCCGTTCATGAAAAGTTCAACAATTGTGTTACTGTCTACTTTATAAGGCTCTTCTTAAAACAAAGTGCAGGAGAACAAAGTTTTATATTAATGCAAATGCATGCTCTTGCATTCATTCTCGATCGTGTCATGACATTCCCAAATTTTGTCTCTGACATGAAACAATAAAAATGAGTATAGGAGAAAGAAAGAAAGAAAGAAAATACAACTATATCCTGTCACAGTACAGGTCAACAGAGACAGAAAGGGAAAGAACTACATGTGATTGTTTGTTCAAATTAAACAAAATGATCATTAGTTAATGTCCTATGCCGGGGCTTGGACCGGAGTCCTTAAGCTGCAGAAGAATTCGGGGATCCTCGGTGGATTTATGACCTTTCCGACCGGGACTTGGCCCCCAATGCTTCATTGTCCACAGAGATGTTCTTCCAACTGAATTTGGATTTGTAACATCCAGTGGCCGAGCTGCAACCACATTAATCAACTCAAGATTAATGCTTAGTAAAAGTAAAACAAGAGCACCAAAGCAGAAAGACTTCACCCTTCTATCCATAGGGGATCAGAATTAATGGTGCACTTGGGTTTGATACTAACTTGGAAACCACCAGAATCCATCTTATAGTTAGCATTGGAATTGAAGAAGGGCAATTCATGTCTTTCGGGGTTTGAACAAGTTGGAAGGTACGCCAAGGAATGAAAATGCTATCATACTGTGATCTTTTTGACTTCTGATTCAAAAGCATAGTTAATAATATGATAATTAATTAAGATAGAAGTCGTTAGTTACCCATATGCTAATTAACCTTGACTCATGCACGTGTAATTTCCTTATTTCTAGCTTAGTTTGGACTGTGAGGCCAACAGAAAGGAGTATTTTAGGCATATTTGTCATAAGGATCTCAACATCACATAAGCAAACCAAAGTGAACCAATTGGCTCTGATTCCTTCGCTCAATTTTCAATGCGGGCTTCTCTGTAAGGTGACATTGCTTTTATGCCACGTTACAAAAACAAAATTTAAAGTCTTCTCTACTTCTCTCAACCATACGATACCCAAGAATTGACAGACTAAGTGAACCTCACATATTCAATAAAATTTCTTCATTATATATCTACTTGGTGCAAATAATATAGCTTCCAAAATTCCCAGATATGATATTTTAATTGTACCTTCACATGAGGGCAAATCATATATTGTTTATATATGATAAAATCCAAGAGGGAAATAAATATATGGTATACTGAGACAAATGGTGATGGTAGTTGAATAATATGTGAATTACCGCTTATCAAATTTAAATTTAATAAGCCTCCAGCTGTATATTGATTTTTGAGTAGAATTATCTTATATAAAGGATACTTAATTATTTATGAAAATATAAAAAATCACATTCAGCAGTAATAAGTGTATACTATGGTAGTTGAATGTCACACACAGCAGGAGATGGAATTTTATAAAAGCATGACATTTATTAATAATAATAATAATGATATCCATGTAATATTTAATAATTTTTGTACTATAGTTGTATAAACTTTTCCTTCGCATTTCATCACATAATTTAACAATATTCTATAGTATAATAATTTTTATTTTTAAATATTTATGAGACTCAGTTGATATCATATTAATTTAGTCTTCAGTATATTTTTATATTAGGTGTAAATTTTAAGATAATAATATTTTAGCTTTACAGTTGACAGTCAAATAATGGTTTTACGTACTTGCTAATAACTCTTGATGGAGAGATGCTTGGAAGTTGGAAGTGATTAAGTAGGTTTATGTCGATCATCATGAGTCAACTTTGGAATTTTTGCAGTTGATAGTCTTAATTTCATTTAGTTTCAAACAAGAAGAGATTGGCAACTTTTAGAAGTTATAAGAAGAAATGGCCATATACCTAATTCAGTATCTGCCGAAATTTCCTCAATTCAAAATGAGATCCCAAAGACACCGAGCTGAAATGCAGATGCTCTTGTATAAGTGATAATCCCATTGACTAGCAAACGATCGACGAATTGAATCAGTGTATGAAAACATCTTTTTCAAATTTCCACTTCAACATTTACCTCCCCACCAATGCTAAAAGCCCCGTAATGATAATCAACCTTGTAAACTGCAATTGCCTAACAATTTTTCTTTCGAGGTTTAGTAAGTCGACCATACTGAACACAGGAAAATTCTATATAGATTTTAGTTATCGTTTTTAAGTGTCATGAACATTGGAGCATATGTATCTTCTCTAATTTGCGCGAAAACTAGAAGTTTAGTTTAGTTAAGTGACTTTTTTCTTGTTTAAGCACTTTATTTTTAATTTTTTGCCTAAGTGAGGAACCACCCGCTTAAGCTAGGGCTAAGGGTATAGAGCAAATCTTATAAGAAAATCACTCAAAGGGGTCAATAATTTTGACTTAAGCAAAAATTAGTCAGCTTGAAGTGAAAATTGAACAATAGGCATATCATTTCAAACATTTGAAGTTGTTTAAGCGAATCTAACTTCTTTATACGAGAGCAAGTTGGTTAAGTAAAAATAAGTCAAAGGCTAATGTTTGTTAGTTTATGTAAAATGACTTAAGCAAATACATAGTTACTTAAACAAAATTGGTGCGCTTAAGCAAATTGTAGTTTGCATAAGCAAATCATGCATAAATAATAGTGAATAGTACTAGAACATTTGTTGGCTAATGTTATTTTTGCATTATTCGCTTAAGTGAACCATAATTCACTTAAACGCATAATAAGTTTGTATTTTTACATACTTTTCTAGCATGTTCATGTGTACTTATTATTGATTTGAATGAATTTTTACACTAATTACCTTGTTAATTATTAGAGATGAATATGTTTGAAGTTTCAAAGGACTTATAGATATTCTGGACACAATTTCAAGAGAATGAGGCCATTAAGGATCATGCACGCCAGTCCCCAGTTATTAGGACGCTCATGCTTAACCATCATGCTTGCCCAGTCTTCTCTTATCAGCACGCTCATGCTTTGTTAGCATGCACGGTCGTGCTATGATAAGGCACGTCCATGTTTCCAGTATAAGCACAATGGTGCATTCATATGGCACGGTCGTGCTCATCTGTACAAATCATACACTTAACATGATTTAGGGGCTTAAAACCATATAAAAGAAGGCAAGGGGCAACAACTTATTATCCAATTTTTAAACTTCACTTATGAGTTTCTACTTGACTCCTTCATCTCTTCTACACGTGATCTCTATGGCATTTCTGGGAGACTTTGATCTTCAAGCGACTGGACTTGAAGAACAAGAACCTCCTTCTAGTTTACTTTTTTATCTTTGTTTACAATTGCTTTAGTTTCTTTCTTCGGCATGAGTAGCTAAATCTATAGATAGGGTTATGAGAATCCTTGTTCATGACTTTATAGGATTTTGATAATTAAATCTAGGTTTGATTTTCATTTATGAATATCGTTTATCCTACTATGCTTGATTGTATGTTGTGAACTGCCCACTTGTAATATAACTCTAATTAATTATATCGTCAGATGACCGTATCTTGATTAGTTAATGGATTTGTATAGGATAAAATGAGACAAATGATTAGGTAGACCAAACAAATCTTTCTCTTCCAGTCGTTATTAGATTAACAAGTTCATAGATTTTTCATATATTTTTTTTACTATTATTTTCATGCTTTTTTTAATTGATATCTTGCATAACTATTGGGGATGTTAATTTAAAAAAAATTATTAATATTGCATGACCATTGAATATTAATAGTAATTGTATGAATAATTAGTAGTCACAAGGAAATCGAATCTAGAGTTAATTAGAAAAAGAACATAAAAGATTGAATCAGAAAACCCTTATGCCCTAGGTTCCTCCTCTATAATTTCTACTAAAGGTGTGTATTGTGATACCTGCTTTGAGATCTGGTGATAATTGTTTTTGAATCTTGAATTATAATATTTAATTTTGCATATGTTAAGTTCAAACAATTAGATGAAGAAATTCTTAGTAATTAGAAACTAATCCTTATGGGACGATTATTTTTGGACTCATTTTAAAACTCTTTATTACTTTTCGATGAGTATACTTACCCGATGAGCAGTGCACTAATTTCTCTTAAGTGATTATGTATTTGCTTAATCTATTTACATAAATCGATAAACATTAGCTTTTGTCCTATTATTGCTTAAGCCAACTTGCTCTCACATAAGCGAAATCAATTCACTTAAGCTATTTTATTTGAACATTTCAAGAAGGTTATATCTTGTGAATTTGAGATGATAGATATGAGACTTATGTCTTACTATTTGGGATTAAAGGTGAAGCAAATGGAGAATATTATTTTTGTTTGACAAGAGAGGTAGGCAAAAGAAGTGTTAAATAAGTTTGAGATGTTTGATTGCAATTCTATGAACATACTGATAAATCCATATTTTTTAAGTATTTTAGTTCAATTTCTAATAGATTTTTAATAGAATAGTTGAATGAGAAAGCTGAAAATCCCATAAAAATACTAAAGTGTTCAATTTCTTTTAAATAGTCTAGTTAGTTTAGATTTTATGAATTTTTGGTATAAATTGCTTATTAGAATAAATTTATGTAAAAAATTCGGAGCTTGAAAGTCATGAGACTAAGGATTCAAGAGGAGAAAGTAGAAGAAAGTGGCA